TCGAATTCTACGTGAAAAATTAACGGGACTTTGTGTTATGATCCCTATTAAAATATTGATAGTTTTCGAGATAATTGACTTTTCATTTTTTTTTCTTATGTTTCGTCACTTCTAGTAGTTGACATAATTATGATTATATGACAGCCAGAAATTATTTTTTTTTCAGGAACTGTGGAGTGAAGATGGCTCTTTCAAAAAACGTATCAAAAGTTGAGCTGCGATATACAGGGGGCAAAAAAATCGTGCCAAACCTGATAATTTAAAATTTGAAAAATCTCGACTTTTTCACATAGAACATCCTGTGTTTTATGATATCATTAGATGCCTTTCTGTAGACCCTACAATGTTTTAATAGCTTTCCCTATACCTAAGTTACGTAATTTTTGCAAAAAAAAAACATTTTTATGTAAAATACAGGATTTGCGCCCGTTCCTTTGTCGAGAAAAATATTGTAAGGGTATTTATTTTTATTAAATTTATTAGTTGTCTAACCAGACTATTTAAAATAAAAATTAATAACTGAAAAATCTAGATATTTGAATTTAATAAATAAGTCTTTATAGAAAGTTACCATTTATTGTTTAACGTTTGCTAGCAGTACGTATTTATAAAGCAAATAATCCAAATTTGCAGAGATTCCCACTGTTTTGAAAATGTGAAGGAAAGGTTTGAATGAACAGCAAATGCGAATTATGAGAAAACTACCAGGAGACATGAAAGTAACAATGATAGTATTTAGTTTAAAGTTGTGGCGTCTGCTGTTGAAAATCCAAATATTAGTGCCAGGAAATTAGTAGTAACCTTGGAGTTTTCAAAAGCTTGACAAATAGAATATTGAAGAAGAAGTTTCCTCCGTATCATATTGAAAATCAAACACTGTTACCGTAGTTAGGAAAATTATTAGTGAAATTGTAGTTTAAAAAATTTGGATGAATAGAATTTTGAAAAAAGAATACTCATAGTCGCAAGCTAACTTAAAATAAATACCCTTGCAATATTTTTCCCGACAAAGGAACGGGCGCAAATTCAGTATTTTACATAAAAATGTTTTTTTTTTGCAAAAACTACGCAACTTGGGTATAGGGCAAACTATTAAAAAATTGTAGGGTCTACAGAAAGGCATCTAATGAAATCATAAAACACAGGATGTTCTATTTGAAAAAAGTCGAGATTTTTCAAAGTTTAAATTATCAAGTTTGGCACGATTTTTTTGCCCCCTGTATATCGCAGGTCAACTTTTGATACGTTTTTTGAAAGAGCCATCTTCACTCTACAGTTCCTGAAAAAAAAAATAATTTCTAGCTGTCATACAAACATAATTATACTATTAGAAGTGACAAAACATAAGAAAAAAAATTAAACGTCGATTATCTCGAAAACTATCAAAATTTTAATAGGGATCATAACACAAAGTCCCGTTAATTTTTCACGTAGAATTCGATTATGCCATAAAAAATATAGGTTTCCATTTAAAAAAATGAAGTTGGTACCTGCCCAGGAAAAACTGATCACCCTGTATATGCAAATATATTTTGGCAACTCTGTAGAAAAAAAATTAAGTTATTTCTTTTGTTAACCTAGATATTGGACAGCGCACTAGGTGGACACGGTATAGATCAAGGGATTAAAGTAGATATTTTATACCGAGGCCGAAATTTGTTGTAACTCTCTTGTTCAATCTCGATAATTAAAAGTAACGCTTTAATTTTGGAAAATAATACCTAAAATAGGATGAGGTTAAAGTGTATCTTTTTTTAAATAATAAAAGCTGCAAAAAATGACATTTTTTTGTATTTTTTATAATATCTCGAATAATGATGGAATTGTCTTACCCTCAATAGGACTTTTGTAGAGAATAAAAAAAACCTCTAAAATAGACCTTTTTTCAAAAATTCATAACCGTCAAAGTTGAAGCTGGAAAAACAATACTGCAGAAAATGACAAATAATATGTAGTTTAATCGTGTCCAAGTTGGTTTCTATCCGATTTATCAAAAATGGTTCAATTTAAATTCTGAAAACGGCTTCTGAAAGTAGCCGACAAAATCTCCAATTTGTATATCTCGGATTTTGCCTGGGTGATGGGAAATATATGCCAAAAATGCCATTGAAAGTCACCCGAAACGATCGAAAGTACGCTCGAGCCAGAGTCGGGTAGCGCTAGTGGGGGAAGCAGCGAGCGGAGGACCAAAAAATATTATTTTTTTTAGTTTTTATTGTTTAAAAAAAATTGTTCACGACTTTGCTGGGGTAATCACTTGGGTTTTCATTTACTGAGTATTTTTCAAAAGGTAATACATGAAATTTGCTGTAATATTTAAGTGTGCCAAAAAACCTCTATTGGTTGGCCTTTTAATTCTGAGATCAAAATTTGTTGTAAATTGAACATTTCAGTTCCTTAATAAGCACTTTATTCCTTTGGTATACCGGGTGGGGCATTTATCTTGAGACATTAGAGATATTATTATCTCGGTTAGATTCGATTATTTCGAATAAAGTTTCAGACAAAAATTGTAGGACCCTTGGGGGGGCCATTGAAAGGCCCATATTACAATATTGTAGATTCTTGTTTTTTATGGCCAAAATATGGGTTAAATTGAAAAAATAATAAGAACAAACAGTATTTTTTTCGTTTTTCAATCGAAATCCGTGGTAAAAATGGGTGTTTCCATTTAAAAGAATCAACTTCCGGTCTAAAAACACCACTTCCGGTGTAGACCGGAAGTCGTAATATGGACCTTTCAATGGCTCTCTCGGTGCCCTACAATTTTCGTCTGAAACTTTTTTCGAAATAATCGAGTCCAACCGAGATATTATTTTGCCTCAAGATAAATGCCCCACCCGGTATATTATGCTATCATTTCTCACAACTTTAGTTCTGGAAAATTGTGAAGGGACTAATCTTGAGCGAAATTTGTTGAAAAATGAAAGTTCATTACTATTATCTCTAACTACTATCTTTATACTGTTATCTCTTAACATCTTTAGTTCTAGAAAATAGTTAAATGTCAAATTTGTTGAAAGTTTGTTCATTTTAGTCCCGTATTAGGTATAAGGTGTAATATAAAGATGCACTTTCAGTTCTTTAGTGCATATATGTTATATTATTAATTGTCACACTTAAGTTTTGGAAATCAAGACTAAAATAGTAAGGGATATATTTTAATCCTGCACTTTAGTTCCTTAGTATGTATATAAATAATACACTTTAGTCCTTCAGGGTATAGTATCATTGTTTTTCACACTTTAGTTTTGGAAAATGGTAAAATGAGAAATAATAAGGGACTAAGGTGTAGGTATCTTTTAATCCTGAAAGTGAAATTTGTTATAAACCACAATAGGCATAATATAAAAATCCACTTTAGTCCTATGGTATATATTATTTGTCATATTTTAGTTTTGAAAATAATTATTAAAATAGTAAAGGATTAAAGTGTATATCTTTGTCCTGCACTTAAGTTTCTTAGTAGGTAATAAAGATACACTTTAGTCCTTTAGTGAATATTATAGTATTGTATTTCACACTTTAGTTTTGAAAATAATTATTAAAATGTAAAGGACTAAAATTTATCCTGCACTTTAGTTCCTTAGTAGGTAATAAAGATACACTTTAGTCCTTTAGTGAATATTATAGTATTTCTCACACTTTAGTTTTGGAAAATAGTAAAATGACAAATAATAAGGGACTGAAAGTGACATTTGTTTTAAACCGCAACAGGTATAATATAAAAATCCACTTTAGTGCTGTAGTATACCTATATCATACTATTATTTATATGCACTTTAGTCTATATTATACCATTTTTTCTCCCCCTTAGTCTTGGAAAATAATAACTAAAATAATAAGGGACTAAAGTATATTCTGCTATAACGAGAGCGAAATATGTTATGAAATATACATTCTGTTGACTTGGTAGGTAAAAGTGAATATATAACTTTACGCACTTTATGTGCCATAATAGATCTGTCGAATTACCTAGACTACCAATCGATTAGTTCGTAGGACCGAAAGTGACTTTTTACTCCCTGATATTAGGGACTAAAGCGTTACTATTTTTTCATGGGGTTCTAAAAATTTTATTAGGCTGGAATTAAATTAACGTCCGAAGCAATCGGCTTGAGACTTCGGCTGAAAAAGGGCGATATTGATATGTTCCGAACTGTCCCTATCCATCATCTGAGGCTTAGAGGGATATCAGCGAAAATGAAATCCACGATTGATCGGTTCGTCTTCGTACGAGGCCGTACTTCCAAAGATGGAGTGCGGGATAAACGTCAGCTTGAAAAATAAATGACGGTTTGTGGTTTTTTATGCGTTCGGATGTTTACCTTGCGATACGGTTTGGTAATGTATTACCTTCTTCGTCAGCTCGACCCAAGACACGCCAGTGTTTTTGTAAGACTTATTTTAAATTCGATAAGAAAATCGTGTTCTTACATTTTTCGTTTTCGGACGAGTATTAAGTTCGATTGGCCAAACGTGCCTTGGCAGCGATGCAGTGGCGACTCTTGACGTCCATGCCAGGGAGGGCGGAAAAATTTAGGTACAAAGTATTTGGTATTTCTGGCACCATTGATTTTTGCAAGTGCTACAAACAATTTAAATTTTTATAGTTGTTTAAAGAACACAAGAAACAATATCTATGTAACAAAATTTTACACCACAACTGAACAAATTACGGTTATTAAGAAAAAAAAAAGTGGCGAATAGCTATTATTTGGTTACGGTGCGGTCAGACTAAACAAAGCCCAAACTGCATAATAATAATAAATATGTGCTACTCCCACTCCGTCTTCCACTACTGCTTGACGGTAACCATGACCACCACTGTAAACACTACACATTTAGAGACGAGCTGCGAATTTCGCAGTGTTGAAATAAATAATCCATCACCCTGTATATTTGTGTTTTCTTTCCGTGTTACAATATTTTTTTATAATTTTGCCTTTTCATACGCTCTATTGTACCCTCGACGTTGATTAACGCCCTTTTCTTTGCAGGCATTATGCACTGAGGTGTACGACATGCAGATCAGCGAGGCGGCGGGCGGGGCGCCGGCCCCTGGGGCAGAGCCCTGCCGGTTCCCCAAACTGGAGGAGTGCGCCCACTTCCACTACGAGAGGGTCCAGCTGCCCCAGCTCACCGTCACCCTCCAGACCAACATGGACCAGTCGCTGCTGTCGCAACACAGTGAGTGGTTTCTTTTGCAGTATTCTTAATCTGGTGTAAAAAAAAAACCCGTCTGGGAAAGTACGAAGGGACGTCATTAAAATGCAGGGATTGTTTAGTTGTCACAATAATGCATATACACTGAAAGAAAGAGTATTTGGACCAAATGAGCAGATAGTTTTAAATTGAATTATTTGCCGTAAATGTTATTTCGTTCTATTCAAATATACATCTATACTTTCGTCAAACTATGTGAAATATTTGCTGTAGTCTATAATTTTTCTTAGAATTTATATTATTTGTAAACATATACAGGTTCGGAAAGTTCCCATGGTACATCGGCCGTTACGTGAGAGCGATAAAGTAAGTCATAGAAATCCGTGCGATAGACAAGGATGGTTACATTGAAGACGTTTCATAATCTGAATAGTCACTCCCACTTCTAACCCGAAACGGGCGGTGAATATTCAGATTATGAAACGTCTTCACTATAGCCATCCTTATCTATCGCACGGATTTCTTTACTTTGTCGCTCTCATGTAAAGGCAGATGAACCATGTGGATTTTCCAGCCCTGTATAATTTAATTAAAATATTTTATAGTTTTGAAATATATTATTTCGGACTTTGGCTACAATATCTCTTACAGTTCACCATAAACTGCAAACATATTTGTTTCAAAACTACCACTTCCTTAGAATATATACAGGGTGAGTCATTAATAATGGTACACAGCTCAATGGCAAATTGTCAACGTCAAAATATAGCGATTGAGCCAAATATGCCTTAATAAATTGTTGCTCCAGGGTGTTAAAGTTGAAAACATATTTACGATATTTTGCTATATTTTAAGTATGTATGAACCGATTGTTTAAAAAATTTGTAGTTTTACGTTTTTTTGAGGTGGCAAATACGAATATGCAAATAGTGTTGGGGTCACGTCTAGGGGGCGCTAGTTGTATTGTCCTGTCAATGTAAAAATATGTCTAACTTTTTATATTTTGCAATTTTAAATTTTTTAACTAGAAATTGTTGAACTACGTTTAATACTAAGTAAAAAAGGTATGCTTGTTACAAATCGATAAACTCGACTGTTTTCGAGATACAGACATTTTAAGTTTTAGAGGTTCGACGGGAATTAAATTAGAAATTTAATACAAAATTGAATAGTTTTGGTCAAATGATTATATAAACATTTATCAGTAGTAAAAAATATTTTGTTATTTTGTTTCAAACTCACAACGCCTAGTACAACAGCCAGGATCGTTCGTAAGTTTAACCAACCAGCCATAGGTCAGTTTGGGACCTATTGATAGTCCTCAATCCTCATCATTATGTGGTTACAACTATCCAGCTGCTTTAGTATCGTTACCACGAGGAGATGTGTATACACAGAGCGTAAGTGCTCGCTCCAACTATCGTGCTACTTCCCACCTACGCCATTCTGTGACCTACAATTTTCTTTCAAAAAAAAATATAAGTTTGATTATGATATGCTACATTTGTCTTGAATAATTCCTACAAGTTTATGATGAACTGTAAGAGATATTGTAGTTAAAGTCTGAGGTAATAAATTTCAAAACTATAAAAGATTTGAATTAAATTATACAGGGTGGTCCCGAGGTAATGGGCCAAAATTCATGGGTAGATTCCCGAAGCAAAAATATTGCGATTCAGCCGAACTTACTTTAGTCCAAAAGTTGATAGTTAAAGAGATGCAGGGTGTTAAATGTAAAATATTATTTTAGTTTATTTCCATTTATTTCTTAATAAATGCAATAACAGATAGATAATGTGTAGATAACACAAACTTTTGGGGTGTGGGGTTCTTTGGATAGATGAATTGGTTATAGTTCATAGAGGGCGCCAGATGCCGTAGATTGAAGGTGTTGGAAACGACATAACTTTTTTGTATCTCATCTTTGGTATCAAATTCTTATTTTCCAACTTTTTTTACACAAAAAAGGTAGACTTTATGAAAGTAGCTGTTTCGCACCGTTTCCAATATATTTGGCTTTGAAACTTCCAATGCTAATAGTTGAAATAATTAAAATAATTTAGAAATGTCAAAAACAAAGGTTTATTTAGAATTAAATATTGTAATGCACAGTAAAATAGTAAACATTAGTAAAAAATATGCCTTTTTGACAATAATTGCTCAAAATGTCCACCTCTAACTTCAATACATTTATCAACACGTTTATTAAAAGATTGTCTTATTTTAAAGTATAAATCCTTAATGCGAAATGACTTTGCAGCATTTAAAACCTGCTACTAAAGTTCTTCTCAAGTGTTTATAGTTTCTCCATAAACAACTGATTTCATGTAACTCCAAAAACGAAAACCTCGGCATTCTATCTCACATTTATGTATACGAGTATACAATTTAATTTGTAAGCTAAGATGTAATTTTAATTAGATACGAATAATACTTAATAGAAATTAGCATACAAATGACAGCAATAAGACAAGTGGAAGACGTCAATTATTTGATTTTCGTCCAAATCCTACTTAAGAAACTTTACCGCTAAATTAATAATACCTGTAGGTACTTAATTGTAATTTAATGCAACAGCATTGGAAGTTTCAAAGCCAAATATCTCGAAAACGGTGCGAGATAGCTACTTTAATAAAGTATACCTTTTTTGTGTAAAAAAAGTTGAAAAATAAGAATTTGTTACCAAAGATGAGATACCTTAAAGTACAAAAAAGTTATGTCGTTTTTAACACATTCAATCTACTGCAGCTAGCGCCCTCTATGAACTTTAACCAAAATGTGAACAGATTTCAATTCCTCTACTAAAAGAACTCCAATCCACCAAATTTTGTGAGGATATTTACATTTGTTAAGGAATAAATTAAAAAAAAAACTGAAATAATATTTTACATTTAACACCCTGTATCTCTTTAACTATTAACTTTTGGACTAAGGTAAGTTCGGCTAAATCGCAATATTTTTGCCCATTACCTCGGGACCACCCTGTATATATTTACAAATAAGATACATTCTAAGAAAAATTATAGATTACAGCAAATATTTCACAAAGTTTGACGAAAGTATCTAGATTTGAATATTTCCATTTAAATAATTCCATTTAAAACTATCTGCTCGTTTGATCCAAATACTTTATTTTCACTGTGCATACTCCTAATAAAAAAACTATTTGGTGCAGTTTTAACCGACTCCAATGGGATCATTTGGCATATATTTTTCTAATTCATATTCAGAAAGTATGCATCACAGTTAGTTAATACGCAAAAAATTTGATTATTTTTCCAACAATTCCTCCGTAAAAATAATGAAAACGGAGGGCGGGAAAACGCACAGAAGCCATGTTGTGACGTCATACCACTCATTAGCGGCTAGCCCACATACTTGGCTAGGTACCACATACATCATATTATATCTCTAGCTGTGAAATTAATATCAACTAATTCTTCAGCAAACAGTGTGCAAAAAAATACTGGATATATTTCAAGACTAAAGCGCCTTTTAATCCCGGGACTGATTGATAGAAATTTCCAAATGCACTTTGTCCCTTGTCATTAGATCAAATTTATTAATACAACGCTGGAACTTATATAAAAATATAAAGGATTGTTTCTACTGACCGCTATTTAATATTTTCAACCTTGATAGTTATTTATAGCGGCTTATTTTTGTCACAGAAATTTTTGGCAAGCAACTAGAAAAAATATTTTCTGTAGATATTAGTAGACTAAGCGACTCCCGGCCCAAAATATTATGATACAAATTAAGTTAATCTTTTACTCGTAAGTTTTTGTAATAGAAAACTATGTAGGTATTTAAAAAAATATATTGCTATTTTTTGATTCTTAGTTTACATTTTTAAATACCAATTTGTCATTTTGAAGTAGAATCTATTCGAGAAATCGTTTTTATTGTAAGTGATGTTAAAAGTTAATCGGCGTCTAATATTGTCTTCATTGTTTTCTTCTCTAAATTCCTGAGAAGATATTCTGCGAGTTGATTCCTTACATTGAATGGAGCTATACCGGCACCACAGATGTGTATCCGTTTTTTTATTGTTACAGCCAATGAGGAAGATGACACCGAATGGTTCATGGTGCAGGTGACCTCGGCTGACGCCTGCTGGTTAGTCCAGAGGAATTTTGAAAATTTTAAGATGTTGGACGAACAGCTGCACCAGTGCATATTTGACAGGAAGATCTCCCAGTTGCCGGACCTGGCTAGTCAGTCGCCGAATGATGAGGATTTAGAGGTAAGTTTGTAAAATTACGTTCGTAGGTATCAGAAAAACGATTGGAAATTGGATATACGGGGTGTCCCAGTTTTAAGTGCCTTAAATGAAACGGGTAATAGAAAAATTTATAGCAGAAAGTTTCATATAAATAAATATCCGGAAACCTTTAATAAAAGAGGTGCAAGATAAGAAAGTTACAATAAAAAGAGTTGTTTTTTTATCTTCCAGTTTTCAGATATTAAAACCATATTTTGCCATAAAATTAATCAATCACATTCAGCAAAAAAATGGTATGGTACTCGATGAAATTAAAGAAAATGTAATTTTTGTATGAATTCTGAACAAAAATTATTTTTTCGTATGTCGCTGTTGCGTCTGAAATAAGATTTTTAAGGTTTGTTTTTCTTTTTAATGTAAGAACGTTTCGTTTCTGGGGGCAAATACAAAGTTGGGCTTCTAAAACTACAATTAGATAGTAATAAATATTTTGATATAGATAGACGATGGAAATAACAATGAATAATTTTAACCACTCAAGTCAGTTTGAAATCTCGAAAACCACTTTCTAGAGAAACTTGATGTTTGGGTCAAAACACAATCAAGTCCAACCAAATTACACTTAGAAAAAAAGGGGTAGAAATGGTATTATTGCGATTTTCGGCGAAAATTGACGTAAAAAGTATCCAATACAAAAGTTGTAGATCATAAAAAAATGTATAACTTTTGTAGAGGTCACTTTTTAATATAACCTCAATATTTCCGAGAAAAATGCGAAAAATCTTTTTCATTTTTGTTTTTCGATTTTATTTTTTACTTCCGCAAAAATAATTTAATTTTGATGGTTGTTGGTAAAAATACCTATACTTTTCTGTTTATTAAATAACCACAATTTTTTTAGATAAAAAAATCAAGAAGTTTCCGAGATATTCATTTTTCCGGTCCAAAACACTTTTCCGGTTAAACAATGAAACAGTTTCTTTTGAATTTTTTTCGTTACAATTGAATGATGTAATCAGTTTTTACATTTTTCTTTTAATTTAAACAAATTTTCAACAATTACTGAAAAATTCATTGCTGCAAGAATAATTTTTTGTTTTTCTTTTCATTTTTGAGCATGGTTTTCAATTGTGATTATACATTTTTTTATTTTACCAAAAATTATATGTCAAAACGAAAAAAATGAGCACCGGCGCCGGCGGAACTCTGTACCATGATTTTTCTTAGAATGTTTTTTGAAAAAAAAAGTGTCGGACCAGAAAAAATGAGTATCTCGGGAACATCTTGATTTTTTTATCTAAAAAAATTGTGGTTATTTACGACAGAAATGTATACTTTCACCAAGTTTCGTCAAAATTAAATTATTTTTTCGGAAATAAATAATAAAAAACGAAAAACAAAAAAGAACACGATTCTTCGCATTTATCTCGGAAATTTTAAGGTTAGTTAAAAAAGTGACTTCTACAGAAGTTGTAGATTTTTTCATGATCTACAATTTTTATATTGGATTCTTCTAATGAAAGTCCCATTTCCGTAGTTTTCAATAAATACATCGTCATTCACCTTTTTTATTGATATGGTAAACAAAAAAAATGCTCTTTGTTGAAATATATTTTGTATATTATAATTGGTACGACGTACGCCTTCATGTGTACCGCCCTGTATGTTGCCGCATCGCCTACCGATAGACGTAACTGGAAATAACAGGTTTCTCGTATCTTCTAATTAGCAATAATCCTATTCATTGATTTTAATTCCCTTTGTGTGCGAGGGGAGAGGGCGGGCGACGAGAATTGCATTATGGGTCAGAGACCCTTTATGGCGAATGGAACTGTCAAGGCTAATCGGAAGGAAGCCCCGAAATGTATATAAATGACTCAATAAAAAGACCGTTGATCGGGGATTAAGATAGAGTCAAGTAGTTAGGGAAAGTGGTGTTGGGCATTTGCCCGAGTCTAGCTGGTGCCTATTTAAAAATATATGATCTTATGATTTTTTTTAAAGATTGCTTTAAAATTATTCATTTTCCACTTCTCTATTTGCTTATTTCTCCTTGGATACTAAAAGCTGTTGAATATATCCAAAAAACAGGGTTAAAAGGAACTATGCCGTTCAAGCAATTTTATTGCATGTATGCAATGGGTCATTTTAGATGAAAAAACCACGGAGTGCTATTAAATTAGAGGGTGGTGTAGTGATTGTCTTATTAGCTGTAGTGATGGTCTTATTACTTATCTTCATATAACGAGCGTTCAAATAAAAACGTGGTCGAAGTTGGCTCTGACACATTGGACGTAGGGAGTAGCTTATAGCGACCAACTTAACCTCATTTCTCAACGAGCTGTATAGCAGCTGTCAGTTTCAATAACGTTAATGACTATATAACTTTATTTTAAAGAATAATCGTGATAACAATAACAAACAATTAAAGGAGCTGCGGAAAGTGTCCCCCTCCTTGTTATAACAATAAATTAAAGCAGCTGCTGAAAGTGTCCCCCTCCTTGTTCCAAGCACTTTTCACACCTGTTCCTCAAAGAATTAAAGACATTTTCTAAGATGCTCGGGGTATTGTTAATTTCACGAATCTTGTCTATAAGTCGAGCCTGCAGATGGTTTAAATCAGGAATAGGCAGTTCAAAAATAGTGTTTTTAAGGTAAGGCCACAAAAAGAAATCACACGGCGTAATATCACATGACCTCGGTGGAAATTCATGTTCAGCATTGAGACTTATTAGTCGATTTTGGAAAACTTCCCTCAACATATTCATCGTCTCGCCTGCCGTATGTGCCCTTGCGCCATCTTGTTGAAAGTAAAAGTTTGTAATTTCGTTTTCTTCCAGCTGGTTAACAAAAGGAGCGATAATTTCTTCTCTATACCTTTGCGCAGTAAGAGTACCATTAAAAAAAATAGGTCCATAAATCCTCCTTCGATTGAGAGCACACCAAACTCCAATTTTTTGAGCGTGTAGAGGGCCCTCGACAAAAAAGTTATCTGGTTTTTCAGAAGACCACATTCTCATATTCTGTGAGTTTACGTAACCACTTAAATGAAACCAGGCTTCATCAGAAAAAAAGGTGATATTATGAAGTTCACCGTAGTTGTTTAAAAACCATTCACAAAATACAGCCCGTCGCGGAAAATCAACTTCATGAAGTTCTTGCTGACAAGTTAAACGATAGGAGAACAAACGCAAATCTTTTTTTAACACTGTGTGGCAGGTACCGACTGATACTCCCACCATTTGTGATAAAACACGTACAGAAGTTCTTGGCGCATTTTCCATTATTTGTTGGACATTTTCTTTTAATTCTTCAGTCCGCTTTTTAGGTCGGCCGCTTCCTTCTTTTCTTGTTACACTGCCCGTTTCACGAAAAACATTAACACAACGCTGAACTGCACTTTGAAAAATTTTGTACTCAACAACGCCGGGAAATTGATTTTGAAATTCTATGAAACATTCCTCAATAGAATACTTCCATATTCCATCAATCTTGCGTCCATTTCTAAAGTAGGATAAACACTTCTATGATAAACACTTTTTGTTCTTGAGAAAACACCATTTTAAACGCTTTTTAAAACGAAAATATTCAAATTGATAGCGGCGATATAGCGCTTTGACAGATGACGTTTAAGTTCATTTGCTGTACGCTACGCCCTATGTCCAAATTTTCAGAACCAACGTGACCACGTTTTTATTTGAACGCTCGATATAAGATTTATTTATTATCAGATCAGCTAAGGAAAGTGAGTGACAAAAAAAACAAGATTTTGTATTAGCAGAAAAATAAAACATACAAATATTTTGAGGCCTCATCCTTTTCGAATTCAATTATATTATCAAGAATTTAAAATGTATTATTTATGTTGCGAGATAGGGGGGAAAATGCACCCCTTTCAATTTTTTAATTATAGCTCAAAAACGAAGCAAAATCTCGCTATAGTTCATAGGAAAAATTATTTAGGGAATTGAATTTCCCATGGAAATAGCTTATTTAAAAAATTTAAAAGGAAAATTTTATGCAAAAAAATCATTAATAAACAATTTGAAAAAGCAAAAAATTCGATTTTGCCTCTAGTTTTTTTTTCAGTAAAGATAGGTATAGGCATTGCTTCATAGAAAAAAAAAAAGTAGATAAAATTTCCTTCAAAACAAGAGGTTGTAAAGTATTTGTTGGATGAAAATTGACTGATCTATGGCCGCTGAAACTTAGCCAATTTTTCGATTTTCGTTTACCTTTCGTTTACCCTTAGGTATACGTTTTAATTCTCATTTTTTGCAAAAAAGGAAGGAAATAAGACGTTCAAGGATTTTCATCACATGACTTGTCAATAAAAATGAAAAAACCGCAGCTATTAAATTAGAGGGTTGAAATTGAAGATAGGGGTGAACATGCACTTTTGCAGTTTTTTAAATATAGCACAAAAACGAAGCAAAATTTCGGTATAGTTCATAGGAAAAATTTTGTAGAGAATTGAATTTCTCATCGAAATGGCTTATTTAAAAAATGTAAAAGGAAAATTTTATGCAAAAAATCGTTAATAAACAATTTTAAAGAAAGCAAAAAATAAGATTTTTTTATTTTTTTTACTTTTTTAATAAAATAATTTAGTAAAAACTTGAGAATTTAAGTACAATAAAGTTTATTAATAATGTATATACAGTGTGTCCACGGATGGAGTTGACAAGAGGAGAAACTCTTTTGTTTTTGACTTTATCGAAAAATGTCACTCTTTATAAAAAGTTCTGCCCCTCGAAAAAATGAGACTGTCATACAAACATCTTAGATTAGATATACAGGGTGCTCATAAATTAAAAAAACACGAAAATACTCAAGAGAGAAGTACCATTATTTATTATTTTACACAACATTTTTATAAAACAAATCTGTTTATAACCTCAAATAATGTCCTAATACAAATTTTAAAATCAAAATTTCAATTTTTGAGGTGGGAAGTAGCTATACATATAGAGTAAAAGTCAGAATTGAAATTTTGATTTTAAAATTTGTATTAGGACATT